CAGAAGACATTTTGTCAGTTAGAACGGGTCCACAAATGGCCATCCCTTCTACATATATAGAAGGAATGGTCGAAAACTAAGTTGTTACATACCCTAAAGGAATAAGACTAGAATTACTGGAAATCCTGTTATTTTAATATAGAAGTAAATACAGATGTTTATAATTTTTTGAGAAATTGACAATAACGTACTGATAATGTTTCAGGATCAGGAGTCAAGATGCGTGATTGTTCGCAAATGTATTTGAGTAAAGTGTTCCTGTATAAATTGTCTAAAGTGACCAAGATAAGCGTAGCTACTTTCGAATGCCTTATGCCGTCGTTCAATTTGCGGGGCTATCTACTAAGCGATAGACTATGCTCACAATTTGTTACCTACGCTTCATTCATACAGAAGATCCTTCAGGCCGAAGCATACGTCACCCAAATCGGGTCTAAATATTTATTTGATCGTCAACTTCTGACCTCCGACTGGCACTGATTCTTTTTAATAATGGGACTCGATGGAAGATACAATGGTCGTGTATTGTAAGTCATTCTGTGGTCCTCAAAAACGAAAACTTAATCACGATTTAACTTGGATTTGTGAAAGGAAGACTTAAGTAATGCCTATTGTGTCGAGAACAGAGAAACTTCGACATGTGATAAATTTACTACTTCTTTAAACCGAATTTTCTTGTAATGATGTAACATACTGTTGATTGTTATTTATTAAGTTCAGTCAATTAAGCAAATCTCATTCTAGTCTCTTGTTTTTGTAATCTAATGAAATAAAATTTTATGATTTATTGGTTATAAAATTTAATGATTTACTTTTTCTTAAAGAAAAAAATTCCGGTTACAAACATGAGAAAATACAGTATTTTTTTCAAGATTAAATAGGATTTGAGCTATTTCTTGCTTTTATTAAAATAAGTCGAACATTTTGCAACCTGTTTAATTTAATCATCATAATCAGATCATCCCCTGATGCCTGATATATCTTTTTATACTCCACGTTCTCTTCACTCTGTTTTTCATCTCCCCAGAATATCAATTTTTTTCAGCCATTTCAGGATTTTAAGCACACATTCCAAAGAGCAGATCTTTTCAAAATTGACACCCGTTGTACAAAATCGCTTGAGGAAGTAGTAACAACCTAATAACAGCGTAAACAGAGAAAACGAACTTGTAATGTAGGAAGACAGATAAGCATCCACCATGACGGTTTTTTCAATAGAAAGAAGACAGGAAGAGCAATTTTTGGGACATCCAATATCGCAGAAAACTGATAGCCCGTTTTCAGTCAGTTCTTCAATTTTTTTGGTACAGTGTTTGAAGTTTTTCTGCCAATTCTATCTGGTGATTCATTTTTGGTTTTTTGTTTTTAAATCTGTTTCTTCTTCTGTTTCTATTTCTTCCATTCTTTCTAAAATATTAAACAGATTAAATAGAGTTTCCATTCAGATAAGATCTCGTATATATCCATACTTCGTTTCTTTCAATTAAGAATTTTTTATGCCTATCACAAAGTTAAGATTTTCAATAGTCTACTTGCCTTAATTCAGGAATGATCGATATTATGATAATTTACCTCTGTTCGGGCCTTCAAAAAGAGGAAATGATCCTTGTATTATCTTAGTTTCAACTGGAGTATCCTGTGCAGTGGCCTGCATCTTCTCTACTCCCTCAGAAAATATATCTTGCTCTTCCATTTTAACATCTTAATTAGTTTAGTATGTTGTAACTGACTACACGTAAAAGTATAAGAGTTCTACGAATAAACTTACCAATTGTTTGGTTACGTTCTCCTTGAGCAGATGATGATTGATCACCATCTACAGGAAAATAACCATCAAACTGAATTTTGAATATAGTAGGCGTATATACAAAATAATTTTCTATAATATCTTTGATAGGATTTGCCAACAATTGACTTCACACAACAATTATTGTGTTTTAATTACTTGTAAAAATGTAATTGCAACAGCACATAGCCTTATGAGATCCCACTGAAATGAAGTGTGGCGTGAATGTTTCACATCTCTTCCAGAAGCCATCAAAATTACACAGTAATGATTGAAAATACATGTTTACAAATTTTACAACCCTTATTTTATCCGGGGAGAGAGAACATCAAGCTTCAGATTTGATTTGTTACTTTATTATAAGAAGCATCACTCAGAAAATTTGTAATTTACAAATCTTTAAATTTGTTGTAAATTTCTGAAATTTATTTAAACTATATTACCTTAATTATAGTTTAAATAAATGTAAAGAAGTCCATAAATTACATAATATGTATACGGTGGATGGGTATGCAGGTAATCAGATGCATGGAAATGGGTGGGAAATTTAAAAAAGCGTCACGTAATTTTAAAATATCAATTTTTTGGTAACAATGATTCATTTTTGTTACTGAAATGTTGCATAGCGTTGCTCATTTACGCCACTGCCTTCTACTATACGTTATACACCTAATAAATAATGAAACGTTCGACACCCCGTTCTATCGCGTAATTTTTAGCATGGGTACGTGCGACGGCGTTACGGTGCGTAAAAGATGATGGATAGCTTTTATAACGTATAAAAATAGTGTTATAATTTACGGATGATCTCAAACATAATGTTTGAGATTATTTGCTTTAGGCAATACGCTTTAGTTTAGAGATAGAGGAGAGTCTAAAAAAAGCTATAAATGCACTATCGAAGTGAAGGACAGCGAGTGTTACGTGATGACACGTAAACGTTACGTAAAGTTTCATTTAAACCTTATTAGACTAATTTGACAATGGGAAATGTGTTAG